GCCTGGAGCTGGAGCCAGAGCCAGAGCCAGGGCTCGCCTGCCCAGGGGGACCCTAGCTCCCACCCACTCGCCCACTTCCTGCCTGCTGCCCTGCCTTCAGATCAGGTCAAAGGGGGCTTCCCCAACCTTTCCTTGCTTCCTCTCTCTTGTATCTGTCTGGGTGGGTCTAGGGAGGGGTGGATTGGGGTGGGCCCAGGCTGACCACTATCCCTAGAAAAGCTCCTGAAGCTGATGGAAAAGGAAAGGGAACGGGGAGGTGGGTTGTCTGCCCCCAGCCAGGACAGACCCAGTGAAGGTAAACATTACTGGCCTGGTTGCCGCCTTTACCATACAGGCCCACCTGCTCTCACTGTTTCATTTTTATTTTGTTTTGTCTTGTTTTGTTTTTGGTAGGATCCCCTTAGTGAGTAGAGGTGGGGAAGTTGGGACCCTGCCTCACCAGCCCCCAGACATGTCTCCCTTCCAGCTGTCCCCACCTGGGAACAAAGCAGCCAGAGGGGGCTGCTGGGAGTGGAGTCCTGTCCACAGCATGGTGTGGGCACTCTGACTGAATCCCACAGAGGGTTTTGTATGAGCACCTCTGGAAGCAGAGAAGTCCCTGGGGGCCAGGCCTGGTACCAGGTGCAGAGGACATTCCTCATAGCGTGAGCAGACACCCAGGTGACTAGCTGCCAGCCTCTGTTCCTCATATGGTAGGTGGTGGCCACACTGGGTACTCCTGCTTCCTTTTCTGGGTTCCCATCCGAGCCATGGGCAGAGACAAACTCCAGGAGGTGGCATGATCCACGTCTGGTGTTTGCTGTGGGTGTAGGATCTGCCATGTTCCTGCTGTCTGCTAGGTATTGTATCATCAGGTACCTTATACCAACATCTCATCAGAATATCCCTTATGCCAACCTTCTGAACTCTGTGGTATCGTCCCGTTTTGCAGGTGAGAACCCTGAGACTCAGGAGGTTAGTTGATCGGTCCAGGAAAGCAAAGACAGATAGAGATTTCAAAGCCTTGGAGCTTTTCCACTTGAAACTAACATAGAGTGTGAGATAGTGTGGGCTGGGAGGCCCAGAGTCCTGTTCTTTGTAGCTGGGGCACTCATGCTGCTTACTCCCTACTGGCAGCCGCCATAACTCAGCTGCTTGAAGCCAGATGCCTGTTCATCCAGGGTGCATGGCCAGACACCACCATGCATGTCTGACCTGTAGCATCCATCCAGCTGGAGGTTGATGGGGCCCATGAGTCTTTCCCCATCTTGTCCCCTCTAGGTGGGACAGGCTTCCCCCAAGCCTTCCACTGGGAGGCTGAGGAGCAGCCAGTTGCTCTACTTTGGGTGTCATAATCCTGTGGGGGCTTCTCCAGTGTGTTAAAGGTGACAGCATGAGGTGAGAAGCTGTGGCTCAGAGCTGTGCTGTGGGAAAATGCTGGGACAGGCCTGAGGCCAGCCTGGGCTCTCACCAGACCCAGAAGAATCCTCAGCAGAGTTAGGAAGTCAAGAGTCAGGCAGTTGCTGACCAGAGGACAGAGGTTTCTATGGAGACCAGAGGAACAGGAAGCATGGCATTTGGGCGGGGGAGGGGATAAAGAGGGGGTGGCGATAATCAGGAGCATAGAGGCTTGGGTGCCTGGCAGGAGAGCTTATCATAAAATGTCAAATCAGCCCGTCTTAACAGCCTCCTTGGACAAATAAAGAAACTGAGGCCTGTGAAGGGACAGCTTTACACATGGTCACACAATACTAGCCTGGCCTGCCTTACTCCCCACTCAGAGTGACTACACCGTCAGATAGCCGAGGAGACTCCTGGACAGATGTGGACTTGGGCTGCCCAGCAGTGTATGGGCCAAAGTGCTATAGGAGCTTGTAAGCTGCCCCCGTATCTTGAGGTGGGTGGGTAGGCAACCTCTTCCTCCTGGCCTCTCTTGTCAGGGTGGGTCTAGGGCAGCAGACGGGGCCTGCTCCTCAGACCTCACCACTGCCCACAGAGCGCCTGCACCTCCCTCCCCCCACCCCCACTGACTGGCCTTTTGTTTTCTGGGTGACACTAGCATCAGGCGGTGTGTCCGGGTGACTAATCTCCAGGCTAGGCAGCTGTCACAGGGCAGCCTGACCAAACGGGTGGGGAAAGCTGACACCCTGGGGGGAGTGTTGGCAAGCCAGTGCCCTGGCAGCAATGGGTAGCTGTGCCTTCAGGCTTCTCTTCTTGGGTGCAGAGCAGACCCTGAGTCAGTAGACTGTGGTTTGGGTTCAAGTTCTTCCACTGACCAGCTGTGTGACCTTGGGCATATTACTGTACCTTTTCAAGCCTCAGTTTTGTCATCTCTGTTTTTTGTTGTTGTTGTTGTTTTTCTTTATTGCTTTTAGAGAGAGAGAAAGAGAGAGATAGAAACATCAATGAGAGAGAACTTTGAGTGGCCGCCTCCTGCATGCCCCCCACTGGGGATTTGGCCCACAACCTGGGCATGTGCTCTGACTGGGAATAGAACCCGCGACCTCTGGGTACATGGGTCGATGCTCAACCACTGAGCCATACCAGCCGGGCTCCTTTTTTTTTTTTAATCCTCACCCAAGGGTGTTTTTTTTTTCCCCCCAAATATTTTCAGATAGAGTGGGATGGGGAGAGAGAAACATCGACTAGTTGCCTCCTACATGACCCTGACCAGGGCTGGGGACGAACCAAACCAAGGTATGTGCCCTCGACTGGAATAGAACCCACAGCTCTTTGGTCCGTGGGCTGATGCTCTACCTGCTGAGTCAAACCAGCCAGGGCAGTTTTGTCATCTGTATAATGGAGCCATTGATCCTGCCTGCTTCACAGGCTTGAGGCGGGGATCAGATGAGGTGGTAAATTCAAGTGCTTGACCCAGGGCCTGTCACATAGTAGGTGTTCAGTAAATGGGGCCCTTATGGTTCTTATGGTTCCCTTCCCTACCATATTCCACCTTAGTCCCAGCCCTGTGGCCCAAGAGGAAAGACCCCACTCCCAACTGCATCTCGGGGGTGCAGGCTTCAAGTAGCCTTGGGTTCCAGCCTTGGCTGTACACTGACTAGCTTTGGACTTTGGGAAAGTTACCTCTTTGAGCCTCAGTTTCCCATCAGAAATATGGCATGAAACAGTACCTATTCTTTAGGGTTGCTATGGTTTGTAAAATGATATATATGTTTATAAAGGGCTCAGCACAGTGCCTGACACATGTGAGCACTCAGTAAACATTAGCCGGGATGATACTGATTTTAGGAGGCAGCCAAGAGCTCTCTGCCCACAGTGCTCACCTCCTGCCGTTTTTCCTGTCACCTACAGGGGCTGGTACTGTAACAGGCAGAGAGCTAAACTCAGGCAGACTCGAACTCTGCTTCCCAAGGCATGGCTGCCTGCACTACCCACTCACCACAGGAGCCTTAGGCACTTCGGCCCCAGCCTGCCTCCACCCTCAGAACCCCTGCACCCAGCCAGGGGTCCAGCCTGACACTGCCTGGTCGGACCCACAATGCAGTAGCAAATCAGAGTGAGTGGGTGGGCAAGTGGGTGGGAGGAATAGGTGCTAGAGTGAAGCCAGGCCTGACTCCTCAAGCCCATCATTTTCCCACCGTTTGTCCAGGGCTCCCACCCACTACGCCTAACTTCTGTCACGCCTTCAGCAGACAGAAGTATTTCTCCTGTGAGCCCCAGGCAGATGTCTCATGACTGTGACTCATATCTCTCTGTGGCTCTCAGGGCCCAGAAGAGCACCTGATGGAGGGACAAGGGCATCCCTGGGCACTCTGGAGGTGTTGCCCCCCTGAGGCAATGCAGGGCTTCCTGCCATTCCCCCACTGTTAGGGAGAGACCAGGCACAGGTGATCCTAGAGACCTGTGAAGAAGGGTGGCAGAAGCAGGTAAGCTGGCAAAGGAAGCAGACAGAGCACATGTTCAGGACAGTTCAAGACAGGGTGGTTTGCGCACAGATGGTCGCCAAGGGTCCTTCTTCCATGATGGTGGCTTGGGGCAGCTCAGTGTTTGGAACTGTGAGTTGGGGCTTCTAGCACTGACCTCTAGGACAAGGTGCAATTCACAGGCACCCTCAGTGGCAGAGCTGGAAGGGTCTTCAGATAGCACTCCAGACTTTCATACGTGGGGTGTTCGTACTGGGCCTCAGAGTGAGTTGGAGCAGCCTAGTTCCAGAAAACTTTACTGTCAGCCTCTCAGAGACACAGACAGTGCACAAACCCAGAATACTGAGGCTTTTCTCTGCTTCCCACTACAAAGCCCCCCAGCGAAGACTGGGGTGGTTTCTCACCCTGCATCTGCCTCTCCAGTTCTCTGAGGGCCTTGTTTCCCCAGGGTCCTCTGATCCCTGAGGCAGATGTCAGACCCTCTCTGTTTCTAGGTGCCACTCAGCCTCACCCCAAAACGGGCTGAGAGAGTCAGGGAGTCTTATCAGGACTGAGTTTCTTTTTAGAGAGCCTTGTTTTATTATCATGGTTTGGTCTGTGCCTGTCCCAGGAGGAGATACCTAACCCGAACCCACCTCTTGCTGGTGGCAAAAGGCAGATCTGACAAGAGGGAGAGCCTTGCCCTCTGCCCCTCTGCCTGTCTAGGCCAACTCTGAGCTGGAACCCAGGACTCCAGACTTCCGTTTCCTTTTTCTTTTTCTTTTCCATCAGCTTCAGGCAAAAGAATTAAAATCCTTTAGGCCAGGACTTTGTGGATTATGGTACCTGGACTGGGGAGGCTGAGCTAGGTAACTGGAAGCGCCCTCTTACCCATTACTCCTGGGCAGCCTGGGGGTATAACTGGGGAGAACATCAGTGCTCCCAGTACTGGGAAATGTGGGCTCCCCTGAGGATTCTCTGGTACCCTCAAACAGCCTGTTTACTGAGTCAGATGCCATAGTCGCCCCTCCTCCCCTCAAGTGTGTCCTCTCTGCTCAAAGGGCAGAGGTCGTGACTGGGTTCCTGGGCCCAGGATGGGCCATGGCCCAGCCCAGGTCCTGATGCTCCTGGTCTCTGTGCCCAACAGGCACCCACCTGCCTCTGCATGGAGACTTTTTTTAGGAGACACTTCCAGTGGAAGGCACCAGGCCCTGGAGAGGGGCAGCTGCGGCCCAGTGGCATGGGGCTGCCTACCAGCAAGGCTCGGCGCCGTTCCCCTGCTGGGCAGGCCTCCTCCTTGCTAGCACAGCGCCGCCGCTCCAGCGCACAGCTTCAGGGCTGCCTCCCGGGCTGTAGGATGCGGGCCCAGGGAGCCAGCCGCCGCCGCTCCAGCACCACACCCCCCACCCACAACCCCCGCTTCATTGTGTATAAGGTGCCCACCCCACAACCTGCCACCGTTGGGGCTCAGCTTCTGGGTGCACCCCTCCTGTTGGCTGGACTTGTGGGCATGAGTGAGGAGGAAGAGGGGGTCCAGGAGGAGGATGTGACAGTTGCAGCATTGAGTACCACCCAGCAAGATACCAAGAGACCTGGGCCATCCCCACATCGGGTTGCCCGGACCCTACTGCCTGTGCCCCGTTGCCTGCGTGGGCACCGAACCTCCTCCCACCGGCTCCCTGCTGAAATGGTGTATGACCCCACCCTCTGGGGCCTTCATGGTTATTATCGGCGCCTCAGCCAGCAGCGACCCTCAGGCCAGCACCCTGGCCCTGGGGGCCGAAAAGCCCCAGGCACCACAGCTAGCCCCATGATGCCCACCCGTGTGCGCCCACTCTCCCGCAGGCGCCAGGTAGCCCTACGGCGCAAGTCAGCTGGACCCCAGGCCTGGAGCGCCCTGCTTGCGTAGGTATAGCTGCAGCTGGCAGGGCAAGTGGTACGGCCTCCAAGGGGGCTGGCATGGAGCAAGGGCCTCAAGGCTCTGCCTGGTCTGAGGGCACCCCACTTTGGAACACCACACCCCAGAAAGGCTGTGAGGAAGGCTGAGTCTCCTGCAGGAATCCTCTCAGTCCTGGGCTGCTGGGTGGGAGTCCTCTACCCTCCCTAGCGCTGTCCCTGTCTTGGCCTTGGGTTGAGGTCACAGTGAGGGCAGAGGTCCCAGGTGGAGGAGGGAAGGAAGCTGAGTCACCAAGTGCTCAGCTGGCCTCAGCTGTCTCCTTTTCTATAGGAAAGCCATCACCAAGTCGGGCCTCCAGCACCTGGCACCCCCTCCTCCTGCTCTCGGGGCCCCGTGCAGCGGCGATCCAGAGCGGCAGATTCGGAGCATTGTGGACTGGAGTGTGAGTGGCTGTGTGCTGGGAGGGGCATATGGGCCACAAGAGCAGTTGGGAGTGGAGGTGCTATGGGCAGTTGTGAGAGGAGCCCATGGGCCTCTAGGGTCGGGGCAAGCCTCCTGGGGTGGCCATGTTTGAGCCAAGTCTTCAAGTGTAGAGACAGTGAAGAAAACAGGATGGACCAAAGTGGATTGAGGTGGCTGGAGCTGGTTTGTCTTGGGGCCAGGGCAGGGGCTGACTGGTGAGCTGGGTGGCAGCATGCACTGAGTATGCTCATCCCATGGTCTAGGAGTCGGCAACATATGGGGAGCACATCTGGTTCGAGACCAACGTGTCTGGGGACTTCTGCTACGTGGGAGAACAGTACTGTGTAGCTAAGATGCTGGTGAGTGACTGTGTGCAGCACACTGCCCCCTGGTGGTGGAGCCAGATCTAGCCTCCTGTAGGCCACCCCCTGCTGGCTCCATAGCTGCAGCCCTTCCAGGGGAAGGTGGGAGCAAGGCTCTCACCTGAGCACCCCTGATGTGGGCTACCTGAGGATGGTGAGAGGAACAGGAGCTGGGTTCTGATGCCAGGAGTCAGTAGTGGGGGTTCCTGGTGCACAGAGGGCAGATGTGCTGGAGCAGATGTGAGGATTTCTCCACCTGCTCTTGAAGCAGCGTCCTGGGTGGAATTACCTGGTGCCTCAGGGGCGCTCTCTTTCATACAGCAGAAATCAGTGCCCCGGAGAAAGTGCGCAGCCTGCAAGATTGTGGTGCACACCCCCTGCATTGAACAGCTGGAAAAGGTGCGTGTGCTTGCTCAGTCTTTCCTCCCCCTCCTCTTCGGGTGCTGAAGCCTCTCAGAGCACACGTGTCTGTACACACATACTTACACAAGCATCTTCTGCCAGGGGTGCCCCAGTGTGCCAAGTGGTGAAGAGCCAAGGACCCTCAAGCTGACATGCCCACATTTGAACCCTGGATCCCCCTTTATTAGCTGCTATATCCCCACTGCCCAGAGGAGGGCACATTGACTGTCACTCAACAGGATGAATTAATAAACCATGGCCATGACACCATTTTATCAATATCCAACCCAACACTTAGAAGTGGCCATCGCCTTGCTGAAGCTTCATAACTCAGCTGTGGCTGGCTCTGTCCCCTACACACTACTACTGTAGAGACCTTTTCCCAAAGTCCGTTGTCCACAGTGTGTCTACAGCTAGGGGCATGGCTGGGCCTCTTGTTTCTGTAGGGAGGTAGCAGGAACACCAGGCAGAGGGTGGGAGGGCTGCCATGGCCGATCAGGGCATCCCAGGTAGCAGAACCCCAGACCAGCATACGGGAATGGCACGAACAAGGTGGGCTGCATCCCTCAGCCCCTGATTGTAGAATAAAGCTTCCCTACACTTTGCTAAGGCTGAAGCAGGGACAGTTAGGAAAAGAGGAACAAATGCAGCCCCAGACATTATAGACCTGTCCCCACCCCCTAAAGTGAAAGGCAAACCAGGGTTCCACAGATTAGCTAAAGGTCTCCAGGGACTAATCAGCATAAGTCTGCAGGCAAGGACTGGGATGCCTGCAGGTGCCTAGGTTGGGAGCGCTGGAAGTTGAGGGAAAATGCAGGAGAAAAACCTTGGTGCTAGTGGGTGTTCTAGTGGGAGAGATGGGCAAAAAAACTCCCAGTCTCTCCTCCATCCCAAGATATTGGGCAGAGAAAGCAAAGATTCCTTCTGGCTAGTGGAGAGGAGGCAGGATGCAGGAGGACTCCTGAGAGGTGGTGTCTCACGTTCTGAAGGCTCCTGAGATCATTTGGAGCTGTCCCTACCTTGTGAGGATAACTCTGAGAGACCCTCTCCTGCATGGGTTGGCCATATGCCTGACCCTGAAGGGAGGTACTGATGTTTTGGAGTCACTGTAATCTTTCACAGATAAATTTCCGCTGTAAGCCGTCCTTCCGTGAATCAGGCTCCAGGAATGTCCGTGAGGTAAGTGCCCAAGATAGTTTAGGGGCAAGGAGACCTCAAGTTTTCTGAGCGGACCTCTCTGCAGTGTCCCCGAGTGCCACCAGAGGGCTCAGCTCTTTCTAGCCTGCCCTGGGACCCAGGGAGGTACAAGGGATGAGGCTCTGAGGTCTCAAAGGGGAGGGTCTGGCTGGCCCTGCCTGCAGAGGGGGTGGGCACCACCTGCCTCCATTTGCCTCTGCCCCTCGCCTGAGCCTTAACCCTGCTCTGGACCACAGAGAGAATTTTCCAGCCCCTTCATCTCACATATAGAACTGATAAAAGCTTACTGCAGCCCCCATTCCTCATCATTGATATATTGAGGTGTGCAGGCCATGCTCGGGGTTTATTTCCTCTACCCCTCACTCATTCTAATGATATTTCTCCTCCTCCACCAGCCAACCTTTGTGCGGCACCACTGGGTACACAGGCGACGCCAGGATGGCAAGTGTCGACACTGTGGGAAGGTGAGAGGCCCTGCCTAAGGAAGCAGCCGGCTAGCTACCCACTGGATCTGGCCCTGTGGCCTCTGAGTCCCATGCTCTGTCCTGTCCCTCGTTGTCCCTAGAGTACAGTCCCAGAGCTCACTCTCAGCCGGGTCAAGGTGCACAGCCAGTCCCAGAATACCCTAGTCTCTGGGCTGAGCAGGAGAGCAGGGAGGAAGGGTTTCTTCTAGTGCAGTGGGTCGGGACTGCTTTGAGGTCACGAGTGAGCCCTCTGAGAGTCCTGTAGACTCAGCCGTTAACTGACCAGAGGTTTGTTGAGCACCTTTTGGGTGTGGAGCACTGAGCTGGGCAGCAGGTTCCTGCCCTCCTAGAGGAGGGTCTGACTCGAAGACAGACTGCAGGCGGTCCTCCCAAGCACTGTCCACAGTGGTTTTGTTCACATACTCGTTTTTTGTCTGTCAGCCTCAGTAAGTGTAGGTCCTGAACAGTCTAGGATCCTTGCCCCTCTTGTCTCTGCTGACTCAGTGCCCAGCAGTTCTGGCATGTAGTGCCCTCAGGAACTGGAATGCACAGGGGAGTGACCAGGGAGCCTGGCCAGGTCTGGGGTCAGGAAGGGGGGATCTGAGTTAGGCAGATCCTTTGGGCCTTTGGGCCTTCCCAGCCGATCTGGAGTGCACACTCAGTGCTTTGCAGTTAACCTCCGAGGCACGGCCCCTGGCCGACTCCTTGCTCTAAGGGCTTATTTTGTAGTTTTTTTATTTTTAAAAATGTGCTTAATTTCCCTGGGTGGAGAGAGGTAGACAACAGAAGAGGGGCTAGGTCTGTTGCTCAGGGCCCAGCCCGTGGTGCCCCAACCACCCTATCCACCCTAGGGCTTCCAGCAGAAGTTCACCTTCCACAGCAAGGAGATTGTGGCCATCAGTTGTTCCTGGTGCAAGCAAGCAGTGAGTGGCACTCATCCCGCCCCCACAGGCTGTCCCCGTGCTGCGCTGGGTTGGGGTCCCGGGGCTCAGCTCAGCGCAGCTCAGCTACATCCCCCACTCTAGTACCACAGCAAGGTATCCTGCTTCATGCTGCAGCAGATTGAGGAGCCATGCTCCCTGGGTGTCCACGCAGCTGTGGTCATCCCGCCCACCTGGATCCTCCGTGCCCGCAGGCCCCAGGTAAATCCTGCCTGTACCCTTCCTTTTCACCCCCCAAACACTTGCCAGCCACCCCAGCTCACCCACCTTGTCACCAATGCCCCCGCTTTCCTTGCAGAACACCCTCAAGGCAAGCAAGAAGAAAAAGAGAGCATCCTTCAAGAGGAAGTCCAGCAAGAAAGGTCCCGAGGTTAGAGCTGGGGCCAGGCGGGCAGTGAGAGGGGGCAGAAGAGAGGAGCCAGTTTCTTGGAAGAGCCCCTGGGCTGATCCATCGGCTCAGTCTTTGGCAAATCAGTTTGGGCTTTGGGGCCCTGCAGAGGGTGGCAGATAGATCCGAATTGCCTCTCTACGGCCCAGCCCATCATAAGGTGTGCCCACAGGTGGTACATGGGGCACCAGGGGCACCACTAAGCATGGGGGTAGGGTTCTCCAGGACAGGAGGGAGCCTTACAGGCTCTCTGTGTCTCCAAGGAGGGACGCTGGAGACCCTTCATCATCAGGCCCACCCCGTCCCCCCTCATGAAGCCCCTGCTGGTGTTTGTGAACCCCAAAAGTGGGGGCAACCAGGTATGCACAGCCTCTCTGCTCCCCAGAGAGTCTGGGGGGAGGCGGGGGGTCAGGCTTTCCACCCCCTCTTACCTCCAGAACCCACAATAGTTCCCACGTTCTACTTTAGAATTCTTCCCGATCTCTCTTTCCCAAGAATCCTGGGAAAAATCTAATCCTGTCTTCACCCCTTGCCCCTTATTGGGTCTGGTTCCCACAGCCTTCTCCCTGTGCTTCTCCCCACCTCAGCCTGCCACCCCTAACTGCCTCCTCCTGTCCCTTTTGACTCCTCATTCCCCACAGGGTGCAAAAATCATCCAGTCTTTCCTCTGGTATCTCAATCCCCGACAAGTCTTTGACCTGAGCCAGGGAGGGCCCAGGGAGGCGTAAGTACTGACCAAGGTTCTGTGGGGACAGTGTCAGGGGCTTGCCTGGTGCTCAGGGTCCAGCCCACATACCCTGACCCATTCTTGTCTCCTGACCCCAGGCTGGAGATGTACCGCAAAGTGCACAACCTGCGGATCCTGGCGTGCGGGGGTGATGGCACAGTGAGTTCTCTCGCTTCTCCCGGGCCTGGGCCTGGGCCTGGGCCCAGCTGGCCTGACCTGGCCTCTTCTGCTCTGCCCCTCCAGGTCGGCTGGATCCTCTCCACCCTGGACCAGCTGCGCTTAAAGCCACCACCGCCTGTTGCCATCCTGCCCCTGGGCACTGGCAATGACTTGGCCCGCACCCTCAACTGGGGCGGGGTGAGAGCCCATGGGAGGTGGGGCCGATGGGGGTGGGCTTTGTGGTGGGGAAAGCCTGTCCCCAGGAAAGGCTCAGTTTCTGCTTCCTCCCACCAGGGCTACACAGATGAGCCTGTGTCCAAGATCCTCTCCCACGTGGAGGAGGGGAACGTGGTGCAGCTGGACCGCTGGGACCTCCGTGTCGAGCCCAACCCTGAGGAGGGGCCTGAAGAGCGTGATGAGGGTGCCACTGACCGGGTGGGTGGGCCGGGGCCAGGGGCAGGAGTGTTGGGGCCCTCTATACCTCAGTGTCTGGGATTCCCAGGAGACTTAGGCTGGGCCCCTTTCCCATTTGCTTGTTCTGGGACTTTGGTGAGTCTCTTCGGTTCTTCAGACTTTGGCTTCTTCATCTGTACAATGGAAATAATGGTGCTCACCTCACAGGACAGTTGTTATTCAGCTGCTTGGCAGGTACTTACTAAGAACCTGTACCTGCCAGGCACCGTCCTCAGTGAGCAAGAGAGAGTCCCTGCTCGCGGAGCTCCTACAGAATGTGGCATGTGGGGAGGAAGTGTTGGGGAAGAGAGTGCCAGGGCTTGGGGGCACTCTTGTGTACAGGGCACTCAGTGAAGCCGCGGGGACAGAGCCAGCGGCAGGCTGGGGCACTGGAAAGAGCTTTCTGGAGGATCCTGTGAACTGCAGGAAAGGCCTCTGAATACATGTGGGCTGAGCAAGCATGGTGCCCCTGGCTGGGTCTGGGCCTGGGCCTGGAGCAGGGAGGTGTCTGTGAGGACTGACCCTCATGCTGGTCCCTTGACCTTTTTCCAGCTGCCTCTGGATGTCTTCAACAACTACTTCAGCCTAGGCTTTGATGCCCACGTCACCCTGGAGTTTCACGAGTCTCGAGGTTGGCAATCTCTCGCCGAGGAGGCCTTGGGAGGCTGGGGAGGCCGGAGCATGGGAGTGTCCCTGAGAGGGTCAGACCCTACCCCCCACCAGTAAAAAGCATCCACTCCCAGCCCTCCCACCCTCGCCTGGGATGCCCAGCAGGGGCCCAGAATGACTGACTGTCCCCCATTTCTCGTCACCACCCAGAGGCCAACCCAGAGAAATTCAACAGCCGCTTTCGGAACAAGATGTTTTATGCCGGGGTGAGTCTGGGTCTGCCAGCCCAGCAATACCCCTCCCCGTGCCCACCTATTCTGCTACCCATGCCCCGTGCCCACCTGTGTGTGCCAGGCAGTGGTTAGAGGAGGTCTCTGTCAGTAGGTGGTGACACCTCTGTCTCCCACAGACAGCCTTCTCCGACTTCCTGATGGGCAGCTCCAAGGACTTGGCCAAGCACATCCGAGTGGTGGTGAGCAGGCCAAGCCGCAGGCAGAGGGGGCAGGCCCAGCTGGGAGGGAGGCTGCCTCAGCACCACACATGTACCCCCAACCCCCTCCCCGTTCCTGCCTCCAGTGTGATGGAACTGACCTGACCCCCAAGATTCAGGACCTGAAACCCCAGTGCATTGTTTTCCTGAACATCCCCAGGTGAGGAGGGGCAGGCTCTGTGTGGGCCCCACTGTCTCCATCCTGCAAGACTGTCCCCTGAAGGCCTCATGCTGCCCTCCCTCCAGGTACTGTGCAGGCACCATGCCCTGGGGCCACCCTGGGGAGCACCATGACTTTGAGCCCCAGCGACATGATGACGGCTACCTCGAAGTCATTGGCTTCACCATGACGTCCCTGGTGAGTAGGCCAGCAGTGGGGCCTGCCTGGAGCCCTGGCCCTGCTTTGTACCTGTCCCTGTCCCTATAGTGTCCAGAAGCATAGCCCCAAGATGAAAGGGGGCGTCACCAAACTTCCCTTCTCTGGCTGGGAACTCACTATCTTCTCCTCTCTTTGACAAGAATATTTTTCAACCTCTCTCTTTCTGGGGGGACACGTCCATCAACCCCCTCTGACTGGGAGATCACCCTTATCACTGCAGTCTGGCTCTCACCCTTACCTCCCCTCTCTGGGGTCTCACCCTCCCTCCACTCTTCACTGGGGTCACTCTCTGTTCTCTGGCCAGAGCCTGCCTGGCAGGAGCAGAGCGTGGGAACCCACCACGCTGCCCTGGCCCCTGACCTGAGCCCTCTGTGCCCACAGGCGGCCCTGCAGGTGGGTGGGCATGGTGAGCGTCTGACGCAGTGCCGGGAGGTGGTGCTCACCACATCCAAGGCCATCCCAGTGCAGGTGGATGGCGAGCCCTGCAAGCTGGTCGCCTCGCGCATTCGCATCACCCTGCGCAACCAGGCCACCATGGTGCAGAAGGCCAAACGGCGCAGCGCCACACCCCTGCACAGCGAGTATGTGTCCTTCCCAGCCCCGCGTGTTCCGGGCCCACGGCCAGACTGTTCCTCTCCAAGCCTTGGTTCCCCACCTAGGAAAGTGGCTAACAGTCCCTCTGCCAGGGCAGTTGTGGGGGGACACTTGGCTAGGTTCCTGGGCAGGGCCCTTGTCAAGTCCCCTTTTATTGCCCCCGCCCTCAGCCAGCAGCAGGTTCCTGAGCAGCTACGGATCCAGGTGAGCAGAGTCAGCATGCACGACTACGAGGCCCTGCATTACGATAAGGAGCAGCTCAAGGAGGCCTGTGAGCAGCACACAGGGCTCCAGGGATGGGGAGGCGGGGCTGAAGAGCCACTGAGTCCGCTACGGGCAGGGCGGTGGGATATAGCCCGCTGCTAACAGCTTGCTCTGTCTTCCAGCTGTGCCACTGGGCACTGTGGTGGTCCCAGGAGACAGTGACCTAGAGCTCTGCCGTGTCCACATTGAGAGGCTCCAGCAGGTGAGGAGTGGAGGTGGGGGCCTGAGCCCGCCCTGTGCTGCTTCCTCCTGTTCCGGGTTCTGTCCTCATCCCCCCGGCCTTTCTTCTCTCAACAGGAACCCGAAGGTGCTGGAGCCGAGTCCCCGACATGCCAGAAACTGTCCCCCAAGTGGTGCTTCCTGGACGGTGAGTGCTTCCCAGGCCATGTCCTGCCTCCCTCGGGGGTCCTGGGTTGGGACAGCAGAAGACCTGGACAAGGGCCCCTGTATTCTCAGCCAGCTCATTCTCTCTCCACAGCCACGACTGCCAGCCGCTTTTACAGGATTGACCGGGCCCAGGTGAGCACTTGCAGTCCTGCTTCAGCGCGGCTGGGTCCAGGGCCCCTGGCGTCCCCTCTCTTGTCAGCCCACCCCTCCACAGACGGGCTCACCCCGTGCTCATTCCACAGTGTGTTCACATCTTCCATGTCATGGGTAGGGAGGGCATGGCCCTGCCCTCCAGACTAGAGTATGCAGGGATGGTGCCAACAGGAAAAGGGTGTACCCAGAAAAGGGTGGGTGAGAGAGAGGGCCTCGAAATGCAGGTGCCATCTGGGAAGACATAGAAGAAAACACATCTGGCCAGGGGCCATGTTGCCTGGGTAAAGTTTATCAGTGGGAAGGGGCTGGCAAGCTGGTGGGCCCAGCCCACGGAGGTCAGTGCCTGGGCTTGGGTAGTGGGAACGGGGAGGGGTGAATGGGGAGGTGAGGGGACGAGGGACTGGCAGGGCCACTAGCCTGACTGCCTCTTGTCAGTGTGCACATCCATAACAGAGGCTTCTCCAAGTCTGCTGGTCTTGTGGCCCTTGCACCCCACCATCTGCTGCCCTGGAAGGCTGTGAACCTCAGCCCTGATCCTCGGCCCTGGCCTCACTACCCACAGGAACACCTCAACTATGTGACTGAGATTGCACAGGATGAGATTTATATCCTGGACCCAGAGCTGCTGGGGGCATCGGCCCGGCCTGACCTCCCAACCCCCACTTCTCCTCTCCCCACATCCCCCTGCTCGCCCACACCCCGGTGAGTCCTGAGGCTCCTCCAGTCCCTGGCTTTAAGACCCACCAGAAGCCCTGCCTCCGGCCCCACCACTTCCCTGAGTGCCGGCCTCACACTACTAGCTGCCTCGTGGACCCCACCTGCTCCTCCCCAGGCTGACTCATTGGCAGCAAACTCAACCCGGCCGAGGGCCTGGACTCCCTCCCCGACCTCTCTCCTCCCATCCAGACCTGACCCTTCAGCAGTCCTGTCGGCTCCCCCCAATATCTGATCCCACCACCCATCCCAGTTGCCATGCCCCTGGCCTCCGGCTCTCCCACTGCACAGCCTAGGACCTCTCCCCGTACCTGCGGTCCTCTCAGGTCACCTCGGCACACAGCACCAGCCTGCCCTTCCCTCCCCTCCGTCACCACGAGTCTAGCCCACGCGCCTCAGTTCTTTGAGGCCTCAGGTTGGCCCACCTCTGCACGTGCCTTTGCTGCCTCAGACATTTTCTGTTCGCACCTCCACTTCGGGGTTTCCCCCCTAGGGAAGTCTTCCTGGGAACCCCATCTGAAGTTTCTGTTCAGTTACACTACCCCATCTTGTATTCTTCACAGCACTTCCTGCTCTCAAAGGACTTACTTATGTGTTTACTTGTCTGTCTCCCTGGCTAGAATGTCAGCTCCCTGAGAGCCAGCTCTCCCTCCGCTGTGCTCGCTGCTGTCCTTCCAGTGCCTAGCACAGCACTTGATATGTAGCAGGCACTCAATAAACTGTTGAAACAATGAAGGGTGCCCCTGTTTGCGGCTGGGAGGGTGACAAGCTGGCCTGTGCTGTAGCCGTGTCACGTCTCATCTCGCTCTGTTTGTAGGTCACTGCCAGGGGATGCTGCACCCCCTAAAGGTGAGGCTTCTCCCTGGTCATAGGATGAGGTTGGGGGGGAGGTGGGCCCACGCACAGCCTTAGACACAGCCGTCGAGGTGCACGTGGTCACATTCGCCACGAGCCAGCCCTCGGCACTCGTGCCCCAGCAGCCCCCTTCTCTGCACCGCGCCAACACAAGCCCAGGCCCCAGCGCTGGGTGTAACAGGCAGGTGTTCCTGCAGGTGAAGAGCTGGTTGAGGCTGCCAAGAGGAACGACTTCTGTAAGGTATTAGTACCCTGGCTCCTGCTTCTTCCCCTTGGCAGCCCCTCAGGCACTGGGGAGTGGTGCCTCTGGGTGGGCCGCCAGCCGGCCTGTTCTGGTGAGGTCCTGTGTCATCATCTTGTCCTCAGCAGGGTCTCCGTGGTGATTATCCCATTCTACCTTGCCCCTGTCCAGCCCACAGTCCTTATCCCTTCAGAGAGGCTTCCTAGATCAGTCTGCCTGTCCCTGGTGCTCAGAAAGGGGCAAGTCTTAGAGGAACTGCAGGCTCCAGGACCTGGTTGTCAGAGCTTCTGGGAGTCCATGGGTACTTTGGGTGAGATAAACCCATTGTCTCTCCCCTGACACTCTAGAAAGACCTCCAGCGGTCCCTAGGGAATGACATGTGTGAGCACACTAGTGTCAGGCTTGTGGCCTGTGTGAGTTGGGAGCATTTCTGTGGCTGGAAAGGGTGGGCCAGAGGAGCCCCAGCCCTGTTCTGCCTCCTGCTCTCAGCTCCAGGAGCTGCACCGAGCTGGGGGGGACCTCATGCACCGGGATGATCAGAGTCGCACGCTTCTGCACCATGCCGTCAGCACTGGCAGCAAAGAAGTGGTCCGCTACCTGCTGGACCATGGTAAGCAGGACCACCGGCCCCTGGGCTCAGCTAAAGTGGGAGAAGAGGCTGCCAGGCCTCTGACCCACCCCTCCCCTCTCCTCCAGCCCCCCAAGAGATCCTTGATGCTGTAGAGGAGAAGTGAGTATCTGGGAGTGCAGGACCCTGGTTACCCTGGAAACCACCCAGTCTTCATCTAACCCTTCACATTTGGTCTGGTGGGAGCCCATAAACCCTTCCTGGCCACATCTGTTATCCCCTTACCCCAAGGCCCCAAACTTCCTGCCCTTTCTGATGTCCCTCGGGAGACAGATGGGAGGGCTTAGAGGACTGGATGAGGTCCACAGCCAGCCCGTTTCCCCAGCGGGGAGACCTGTTTACACCAGGCAGCGGCCCTGGGCCAGCGCACCATCTGCCACTACATCGTGGAGGCAGGGGCCTCACTCATGAAGACAGATCAGCAGGTGAGCAGACTAGCAGGGTGGGCAGGGAGCCACACAGGCCCCAGTCAGTGCTCTCCCAGACCTGGGCCCTTGTGAGAGGGGGCCACCTCTGGGGATTTGAAGCTTTGGTGCTATTCCTCAACCACAAGGGGGTGGGGCACGGCCTCCCCTCTCCCGCCAGCAGCCAGAGGGAAGAGCGCCTGCCCTCTCCTAAGCCTGCTCACAGCTCCTCCCTCCTCCAGGGTGACACTCCCAGGCAGCGGGCGGAGAAGGCTCAGGACACGGAGCTGGCTGCCTACCTGGAGAACAGGCAGCACTACCAGATGATCCAGCGGGAGGACCAGGAGACAGCTGTGTAGCTGAGGCCAGTGCTGAGGAGGGACAGGACGGCCAGAGCACAAGCCCCCTTTTCACCCACCTCACTGCCACATTCCAGTGGGACAGCCACAGGGGGACCCGTGCCCCAGGGAAGGAGCCCCTGCGCTCCCTGAGGAGCCACCCAAGCCTAAGGCTGGACGGAGGAGCTGGAGCATCTCACCTGTACCCCTGAGCCCTGGCCTGACCTGAAGGCTTAGACGGGAACAGGAAACTGGACTGGACGGGGCAGGCCTTTGGGGAGCTGGGCTGGCACTGCAGGGCGGCCCTCACTCCATGCGTGCCCTCCCTGGAGTTGGGAGCCAGGGGCGGAGGGCAGAGGGGCTTGAAGCTCCATCAGGAAGCCTTCCTAAGCTACCTGCTCCCTAAGAGCCCTGCTCTGAGGCTCCTGGAGCTCAGCTCCCACTCCTGCCCTGGCCCCACTCTTCCTAGGACTTCCTCCCAGAAACCTGGAGCCTGCTGCATTTGCCTCCCCGCTGCCCTGCTTGGCACCTACCCCACTGACCTTCCCCAGTCATTTCATGGACGACTCTGTGGCCTGGGGCTTGGGGTGGGGCTCTCACGGTGACTTGTTTACAGCTGGGTGTGACTCAGTAAAGTTGATTTTTTTTCCTTTCTGCATTTCTTTTTCTGCGTGAGAGGTATGACAGAAGCAGCGGGGTCTGCTGGGTAGTCTCAGAGTGGGTGGACTGCACACCTTGGACCCAGACCCTTCCCTGGGGCTCAGGGTCTTGGTTCTCGTTTGGGGGTGGGGTCCCTGGGCCTGCCCGGGACCTGACCTCTGCCCGGCTGCCTCGTTCGGTCGTTCGTTGGAACTGGGGGAGGAGCTGAGGTCCTCCAGCTTCCCGCCTCCCGAGGGGATGATAACAATGAAAGTGAAAGAAGTGAGGCGGGGTCGGGTCGAGGACTGATTCTTTGGCCCTGTTGCCCTGTGGCCTTGGGCAAGCCCCCTCCCCCAGGCCTTAGTTGCTTTTGCTGTTCAGGGGAATCCTGTGAGGTGATCCCCGAGCTCCCAGGGTGAGAAGGGTGGGCATATGCTGCTGCCGCGGAGGCCGGGTCTGGAACTTCTCAGACGGCTGTTGTCAGTTCCAAATCTTACCAAATCCAGGCCTGCAGTCCCTCCCCCTCCAACTCCACCCCGCAAACCTGCGCTCCAGGAACAGCGCAGCAGCACCCGCTCCCGACCCGACCCGTGCGCTTCCTCGGGGCTCCGGCCCAGGCTACCAGCACCGGGCAAAAGCACCTCCCTGCACACTGGTGGTGTCCGAGGAAGCGCTGACGCCTTTCCTGCGGCAAGGGGAATGCAGGGGTCCGAGCAGGCCCTGGGCGGTGTAGCGGGACCTTCACAGGGTTAAACAGGGTCCGGGGGCTCGGGGACAAAGCCAAACGCAAGCTGGAGCGTGGGCCTGCACCGCGCCCAGTGACACACCGAGACTCAGGGCTCCCTCTTGGTTCCCCTCGAAGACTCGGCAGGGAGGCTGGCACCCTTCGGGGAGTGGGGACGGCCGCTGGGAGGGGGCAGAGGGCGGAGATGGAAAGCTGGGCCGGGGACAAGGGACACCAGGGCAAGACGGAGGCCTGGGGCTGGGAGAACCTGGGCTCAGAAGACGGGGGGCCAGGAGAGCCAGGCGTCTGAAGGCGGAAGGCACAGGCAGGGCGAAGCGAGGATGCGGGAACAGAACAGGCGGCGGGAAGCCGGGGTGGAGGCGCCAGGAACCCGGGGCGGGAGTGGAGGCGGGGACGCCGGGGTCGGGGGGCGGTGCGGGTTTGAGGGGAGGGGGCGGGCCCTTCCTCGGTGGTTGGGGGGGCGGGGAGGAGGCGGGGGCCCATGTGACCGGCTCAGACCGGTTCTGGAGACAAAAGGGGCCCGCAGCGGCCGGAGCAGGACGGGCCGGAGCGGGAGGGAGCGAAGCATCGCGGGCAGCAAGCGAGTGAGAGCGCGGGGCCGGAGGGGCCGCTGTCCACCGAGGCTAGGGGCTGGAGGCAGGGTGGGGGTCTGAGCTGCGTCCTGGGCTACGAGCATCCCCCTGGAGACACCTCCCGGCCGTGCCCCCCCACCGCCGCTAGCGGCAAGGAGTTGGCCCCTCAAGTTCTCCCGCCGCTGCTTGAGCAGCCCGACCCTTTGGGCCTGGAAAAGGGGAAAGCTGGTGGGAGGTCCGTGCACGCGGCGCGCCCGGTGGGGACGGGGACGGCGGGGGGCCTGACCCGTGCTCTCCCCCGCAGGATGCAGCACCGAGTCTTCCTCCTCCTCGCCCTCGTCACCCTGCTGGCACTCACCTCTGCAGTGGCCAAAAAGAAAGGTGATGTGAGGTTTCGGGGATTGAAGGAGGGCTGGAGACGGGCAGGTGAGGCCGGCTGCCCGGGTTCCGAGGCCAGGACCCTAGGAAGGGGTCCCCGAGTGAATCTCTAGTTGCCCCGGGTTTTGAGCTCTGTTCCTCATGCATTTTAGACAAAGTGAAGAAGGGCGGCCCCGGGAGCGAGTGCGCCGAGTGGTCCTGGGGGCCCTGCACCCCCAGCAGTAAGGACTGCGGCGCGGGTTTCCGCGAAGGTACCTGCGGGGCCCAGACTCAGCGCATCCGGTGCAGGGTGCCATGCAACTGGAAGAAGGAGTTTGGAGGTGAGGTGGGGTGCAGACGGAGGGCAGGGAAGGGGCACCGCCTCGCTGAAACCCCAGCAGACGTGTGGAGGGGAGGCCACAGGCCGCCCGGCTCTGACCCTGGGCACTCTCCTGCTAGCCGACTGCAAGTACAAGTTTGAGAGCTGGGGATCGTGTGATGGGGGCTCCGGCACCAAAGCCCGCCAAGGCACCCTGAAGAAGGCGCGGTACAATGCCCAGTGCCAGGAGACCATCCGTGTAACCAAACCCTGTACCCCCAAGACCAAAGCCAAGGCTAAAGGTCAGCCAGGGGAGAGGGCTCCAGGGTCACATAGGGGGCTGCCCCCACCTGTGAGGGGAATGGTTAAGCCAAAGGTCTGGGTCCCAGTGAATGATTTCTTGACATCTCTGCACTGTTTTCCTGTCTGTAGACACCTGAGGTGGGCATGTACTGAGGTCTGCCCACAGGTGCTCAGGAAACGAAATCCTTCTGACCCAGTAAGGACAGTCATGCCGCTCTGTTGGAGCATCTGGCTTAGGGTCCAGGGCAAGTCCTGGGAGGGCTTGGCTTTGTCCCTCTCCCGCCCGGCGGAGCATTTTGTCAGCTCTGCGCTTTCTAGTATGGGATGACTTCACTGTTCATGCCTCCTCTACCCCTTATCTTATCCTGACTCCCAGCAGCCCAGAGAGGCCAACAGGACAGAGGTGAATCAGCCCACTCTCAGATGAGGAGGTGGAGGCTGTTGTCCGGGGTTGCCGGGACCAGGACGGGGACTGAGACCCAGAACTTGAAGATTATCCTGATTCCCCTGAAAGTCTAAGTTGGGGGAGTGGGAAAGGTCCAGCGGCGTAATGGCTGCCCTGTCCCACCAGCTTTCAGGTCCACTGATTGAGAACCACTAGGGGGCAGAATTTTCTCTTCCCTGATGTGTAGAGGGATCTCTACCAGGTCACCTGAACCCGCCTAACATGGTATTTCCTTCTTGTTTTACAGCCAAGAAAGGGAAGGGAAAGGACTAGCGGCCATGCCTGAATGCCAGAGAGCCCCTGGCCCACGTTCTCCCTCCCGCAGGCCCAAGATATAACCCACCAGTGCCTTTTGTTACTCTTCAGCTTTATCAACCATGCCTGCCTCTTCCCTTTTCCTCCGCCTCCCCACCCCCAAGTGCCCAAAGTGGGGAGGGACAAGGGATTCCGGGCAGCCTGAGCTTCCCCCAGAGGGATTTGATTCCCATGCCCCTTTTGTTCTTACCCACAGTGATGCCATTACTAAGAAACAAATAAAGTCATTTTCTTCCAATAAAAGCTTTTTTTTTTTTTTTTTTTTTTTGGATATATAAAAGCCCCGTCCTGGGGAGTTTGCTGTGGTGGTTTGTTGGGAGTGGGAGAGTGTGGAGCGAAGAGATGGCTGGAGGGACAGGCGGCTTTCTTGGGGCCTTCATGCTCCCCGAAGCTCATAGAAAAGCAGTACAGTTATGAAAATTTCTTCCAGAGCCCTCTATTGACCCGTGAAAGGGTGCCCCCAAGTCCCAGGAGCCTTTCAGTCTTTGTCTCCGGAACCACCCCAAGGGGAGGGGAGGGAACCCACAAGGCTCTAGAGCGGACACTCCCAGGCAAAGGTCCTCTGTCCAGCCCACTGCCAATCAGGAAGCCCTATCCCCCGGGGTGGCCTTAACTCCCGCCTCCACTGGCACTGAAGTCTGGGTAAAGTCCATCTCTGTCTGTCTGGTGACCCAGGTTTCCCTCACACTGCTGGTGCCCCACCTTCGCTATGTGTGACCTGGGACAAGCCCTCTACTTGGGGAGGAGGGAGAGCCCTTCAGAATCAGGTGGACCGTTCCGTTCCCTGCTCAGGCCAGGACCACTGGGACCACCGGGTGGCCGACCTCATTTCCTGAGTGTGAGTCACTGACTTCCTGCTGGCCCATCCTGACTATGACTAGGGCTGTGCTGTGGAAGGGGGTGCCCCAGAGCCCACTCTTTCTGCCCTCCAGCCAGCCCACCCACCCATCCAACCAGTACCTGGCTGAGTAGTGGCAGCAAGGGGAGATTACCCCTGGGGTGGGATTTGGGAGGAGGGGGCTGAGCCTACATGCGAGGTGCAGGGGTGGGCAGAATGCACCGAGTACAACAGAATGGGGACTATACTCTTCCCTTTCCAAGCCTCCTTTTCCAAGCATTGGCCGCTGCTCCTCCCAAGGGGGTCCTGGGCTTCTGCTCCCCTCCAGATGTCCATTCTTTCAGCCACGCTGATTGGTCATAGTGGAGCAGGTGCCCATGTAGCCCAGTGCCCTCCAGATCCCTGAGGCAGGGCAACAGAGGGGCCGAGCAGTCCAGGTTCTTACACTTCCTGGGGCTGACCCTCCTCAGCCTGAGCAAAGAGCTGGCATCTCTGAATCCAGCCAGAGCTTCTTCCTGAGCCTCATAGGGCCTGGGGACTCCAGTTCTCCCCTTCAGTGATCATGAACACAGAGAGGTGTCTCCAAGTCTTGCCCTCACAGCAGCTCAGCCATGTGGTCCCCCAGCACACGCACGCGGCCACCAGCACCTCCTAGGGCACCCCTGCCTGCCTACCTGGCAGTGCCAATGTTCCGATACTGGCATAGCAGCAGGTGCTTGAAAGTCTTTTTGAAGGTAGCATTGCAGAGGGCGTAGCAGGCAGGGTTGATGGTGCTGTTGACATAGCAGAGCCAGTAGCCAATGAACCACACTGTCTCAGGGACGCAGCTCTGGCAGAAGGTGTTTACCAAGACCATAACGTTGTAGGGCGTCCAGGTGAGAATGAAGGCCAACAGAATGGCAAAGATGGTCCGTGTCACCTTGCGCTCCCGGGCTGCCATCTGCCGCTTCTTGCGTACCTGGTTGCGGGCGATGCTGGCAAATTTCCGGGCCACGTTGGCTGCTGGACGCATGCCAGCTGGCGTAGCAGGCACAATCTCGATGGCTGTCACACACTCGTTGCCTGTCTGCTTCGTCACAATCTGGATCTTGGACCATTTAGAGGCTGGGTTGAGGGCTCGTGGCTGTAGGCGAGGCACGGGCGTGGAAGGTGTGGTGGCCTCTGTGGTTGACAGCTCTGTGAGTGGTCGTTCCTTGGTGTTCTGGGTGGCACTGCCTGAGCTGGAATCGTTGGAAGTGTCCTTGTCGGCCACGGGGCGTGGCGGGGGTGGCAGGACAGGCGGAGGAGCCTCCTCCAGCTTCCCGTTGCGCTCCTCTCGAGCAGCTTCTCTGGGCGGGGGCTTCTTGACGCTCTGCTTCATCAGGGGGCTTTGGAGGAAGGCCAGAGTCTTGGCCTTCTTCTCCTTCGGGCCTTCGGGCCGGTGCTTGTGAACGCGGCTGCGGCTGGCCAGGGAGATGTGAATGTAGAGCACCGTCATGATGACCACGGGCAGGTAGAAGGCAGCGATGGCTGTGCCGAAGGTCACCGCCGGGTTGGACAGGAACTGGATGAAGCACTGGTTGTCAGGAACTGTCCGCTTGCCCACCACAAACTGCCAGAACAAGATGGCAGGCGCCCAGAGCACGAAGGACAGGACCCAGGCGGCAGCGATCATGAGGCCTGCCATCTTGGTGGTACGCCGGGCTGGGTAAGTGAGGGGCTTGGTGACGCAGAAATACCGGTCAAAGCTGATAATGAGAAGGTTCATCACAGAGGCATTGCTCACCACATAGTCCAGGGCCAGCCACAGGTCACAGACCACAGCGCCCAGAGGCCAGTAGCCCTTGATGATGTACACGGTGTAGAGGTTCATGGAGAAAGCGCCTATGATGAGGTCAGCACATGCCAGGCTGAAGAGGAAGTAGTTGTTGACTGTCTGCAACTGCCTGTTGACCTTAATGGACAGCATCACCAGGATGTTGCCTACCACCGTCACCAGACTCAGCGAGCCTGTCACCGTGGCGATGAATACCATCTCCACTGTCTCATAGCGGTTGTGGGTTGATGTGATCAGATGCACAGACTGGTTGCCCGAGCTGCCATTGACCAGCGTGGGGTTTGCCATGTTGGATAGCAGCACCAGGTGGGCAGTTTCTGGAGGAGGGAGAGAGAGAAGAGGTGAACTGTTGAAGTGGATTAGAGGGGTAAGTAGAGTCAAGCGGCCAGAGGAACTTCATCCTGCAGAAGCTTAGAGAACTCTGTGCCATCACTTCCTCATCTGTTCGTGCACCATTTACGGAGTGAGCCCTGGGTGCTGTGGTTACAGAAGTCAATGACACACATAGCTCCCACTTCACGGAGTTTACAACCGATCAGGAGAGACAAACAACTGAACAACAACGGAAAAGTGTAGAAAGAAAACAAGGCAGGGTGATGGCACAGAGTGAATCAGAGGACAGACAGGGATGTTCCCTGCTGGGTGATCAGCGAAGGCCTCTCCAAGGAGGTGATCTAAATGACGACAAGGAGACAGCCACGTGAAGAGCTTCAGAATGTGGCCTAGTCAAGTTCAATGGCAAGAGCAAAGGCCCTGAGGCACGTGTGAGGCAAGGGCAGAGGGCCAATGTGGGTGAGACCCAGCGAAGGGAGGGAGGAGGGGAGGAGTGGTCCCAGATGTCAGCACGAGGCTCTGGTCAGAAGTATTCATTCAGCCCCTTGGGCATTTCTTAAGCAAACATTACCAGGGGACCTGCTCTCCAATCCTACAGAAAACCCTGGGGACAAATGCAAGAGTCTATATTAGCAGCTAATATTTATTCTCCACTAAGTGTCAGACACTTTCAATACTTTTTATAAGTATTAACTCATTTCATCCTCACATCAAACCTGTGAGGTAGATACCATTATTTTTCACTACTTATAGATGAGGAAACCGAAGCACAGAGGTGTTAACCTGACCAAGGTCCACAGCTTCTTGATGTCACGTTGCTGTCCCAGAGCTAAGAGTTCTGGCAGAGGGCAGCCCAAAGAGTCCCAGGAGCCAGGGATCAGGCTGGGGGAAGTCCCCGCAGAGGACAGAGGAGGTGGCATGGAGCTGGAGCCTTAGGATGAGGGGAAGAGGGCCGTGCAGAGGCTTACGGAAGACACTCTCTCCAAGAGCCCTTGCCCTGCCCCAGGGTAGCTGGGGTCTGACAGCAGGGCTGAGACCCTTTAGCCATCAGAAGCCCAAAGGGCCCATCAGCCCTGGCCGGTTTGGCTCAGCGGTTAGAGCGTCGGCCTAAGGTACAGAGAGACCCGGGTTCAGTTCCCGCTAAGGGCACGTTGCAGTTTGTCCCTGGCCCTGGTTGGTCCTGCGGGTGGCAGCCACTCGATGTGACCCTTCACATCGATGTTTCTCTCTCTCTCTCTTCCTCTCTCTCCCTCCCGCTCTATCTGAACAAAAAATGGAAAAATGTCCTCGGGTGAGGATTAAAATAAACAAACAAACAAGCAAACAAACAAAAAAGGGCCCATCAACTGAGGAAAGACACACCTGGCTTCCAAGGGGTCAGGGCCAGCCCCAAGGCCTCTAGGAGAACCCAAAGGGTGACAGTGTCCCAGAGGGAAGAGAAGGGCTGCTGTGGCCTGCCCCTGAGGGTACTGGTGTACTTGGCCACCAGTACACCAACTGGGGTCCCCCAGCATAAGGCCCGTGCCCTGAGCCTGTGCTCCCTCCCCCCTAGGCTCCTCTTGATCTCCCTTCTCCCTCTTCCTCTCCCAAACGTGCGAGGGAGGCCCACACCCAGTGCACTGTGCCAGGGCAGCCGCTCTGCCCAGCTCCTTCACACCCGCCAACACGCACACCATTACACACGCATGGTCCCCATCACAGCCCCACCAGACACTGTCATATACGCAAGTGCTGCGCGCCTGTGTGAGAGAGAAGCCAAGAGGGAGAGGCAGCGGGTGTGGGGGGAGGTAGGGAAGAAGGGCTGAGCACTCTCGCTGCAGCCTGGGCTTCAAGGCCAGCGAGGATCTAGCTGTGTGGACTTAGACAAGAACCTCACCTTCCAGCACCTCTCTCATTTGCAAAATAGAGAGGACTTGTCTCAGGACAACCTACCACCTGAGCAGCTATGAGGATCAGCATGAAAATGCACTGGAGGCTGGAGCCAAGTCCCTGGTGATCCCCCAAGCCTGGCCTCAGTCCCCCTAATCCACCATCACAGACACAGACACAGCCTCCTGGCCTGGTAGTTTGAATTCATCTGTCCAAATCTTTGGTTCATTGGAGGGAGAGGCTCAGAGATGGGTGGTATCAACCTCTCCTCCCCCAAGGTCACAAATGAGTCAAGGGCAAAGACCAGATAATACCCCTTCCCTGGGTGTCTGATAGCCCCTTTCAGCTCGGAAAACCACTGAAATAATACCTCAGGCATCACCCTCAGAGCTGGGAGGGCTGAAGCACCAGCTGGGAGAGGCTGCCCTCCCAGGACACACGGACACACGCAGGCAAGGTGGGCAGGAGCGCTGCCAGCCAGCCCCAAGGAAATCGTGGTGTTCTCTCAGGACCAGGATACAGGCCAGCCAGACTAGAATGGGGCTGGAGGTGTCAAACAGGAAAAACATAATCGCTCTTGTTTATTGAGTGTTAACAATGAGTCAGGAATCCCTCTGAGTTTTTATATGGATTATCTGGTTTAATCCTTACAGCAGCCTGAAAAGGCAGGTAGTATTAGTATCCTCATCTTATAGATGTATCTTCTTACAGATGATGATTATGTTAATTAACTTGCCCGAAGTCAGCAAGTGTGTAAATAGGGACAGGGGCAAGATTAGAACCCAGGAGTCACCTTCTCAACCCCAAATTCTGCCTCAGGGTTGATTTCCTGCGTCTGCTTTCTCCACTTCCTACCCACGACTAGGGGTGGTTCGGGGGAAGCTTGGGTATGGTCCCCAACCATTGCCTGCTGGCTCCCCCACTTAGCTTTCCCAGAAGAGATCTCTTGTCTCTATTGGGGACCTCTTGTCTCCAGCGAGGTGGCGGATGGTTTAGTCCCGCTCTGGGCCCGCTTTGGGAAGCTGCCAGCTGCACACAGGGCGAAACGCAGTGTCTCCCCGCACCCTACCAATTGTCTTTCTGAACCCCTCGGAGTCTTCGGCAGACATCCTGACGGAAACTCTCCAGGGCGCTTTTCTCGGGGATCCAGGTCGGGCTGGGATCCGGCAAGGCGAGCAGCCCCGCCCAGGGTGGTACGCACCGCTAGATGGCATTGTCGGCCCCTGGTGCCGGCTCCGGACCTAGAGCGGGCAGTCGCTCTGGGCCACCGCCCCCAACTTCAACAAGACCGCGAACACCGAGGAGGCCCCAGGCAGGGATCCCCCCTCGCCAGCCCTCGCCCGGGAGCTGCCCTCGGTTCCGCGCGGGGTTCAGTGGTGGGGAAGATAAGGGCGCCCGGATTCTACCTGGCACCCGGAGAGGAACGTGTGGGCGGGAAGGCGAGTGTGAGTTCTGTTTGTGTATGATTACTGGGGAGCGCGAGTAGAAGCTACTAGCTGTCTGCATGTGCGTGTGTGTGCGCGCGCGCTCAGCCACGCCTGGATACCAGTGCGCCCCGAGTGCGCGTGAGCATACCCGTGCCATGTGGACACGTGCATGTGCATGCGTGTGCGTGCCTGGAGTGCGGTGGTCTGGGGGTTGCACACGGTTCGGGTGTGCCTGTGAGCTTATGTACGCAGACAAATGCAGGGCCGACAGTAAGTGACCCGCCACATTCCAAACCCCTCTGCTGGGAGATTCAACCAAGACGTTGGCTGTCTGAGCTCGCATAAAGTCGGGCCGAGAGTCCTGCCTGTGGGTGGGAAAGGGTCAGGACAGGACAAGGCCAGACGACATTCTGGGTTTCCATGCCCCCCTGACCTGGGGGCATTGTGTTAGCTGAGTGCTCAGTAGTGCCGTGCCCCGAACGCTTCGGTGCGGAGTCCCAGTCTTGGGCTGACTTCTGTCGAGGGGCCGCTGCTAGAGTCCCCGACTGGGCCTTGCGGGACACCAGGCTCCACTCAGCGTGCCCGCTGCGTGTTATCGCCAAAGGGCGCCGGCGAGAGGGTGCAGGTAGCACCGGGAGGCCCAGATGGGGCTTGGGTTAGGAAAGTGTAAGATTCGTTTCCCACACCCCTAACCCTGAGCCCCGCTGGAAAAAAACACCGTCTGTCCCTAGCGTCTAGAGTGGACACCCGGTTTCTCAAGCCCAGGCATTGGGCGGGCCTCTAGGACCCAGTTGGGACTTATTACTGGGCCCATCTGGAGGCTCTTCCACGTCTCCCCGGTGGTCTATGGGGCCCAGTCTCTCAGTGCCCCGCCTTCCCCCAACCCCTTAGCACGCAGTTCCTGCAGCCTCTGGGCGTGGGCACAGTGCTTTGCCGGGTCCTCGAGCTCCCCCATCCCCCTTTCCCGGGCCAAACGAGAGCGCGTGCTGGACACCGTGTGGGTAGGGGTGGGTTGTGAGACTTTCACTCTAGGGATCCGGGAAGGCTGTGGCCCTTGGATCTGTCCCTGGAGCGGGAGAGGAGGCTCAGGAATTCAGGGAAGAGAGAGGGGCGCAGGGGACTTGGCACCGACACTTAACCAAGGGGCTCGGGGTTTAACGCTGGATCTCCTCGGCTCTGGGCCTGGGCAAAAGCGAGGGGGAGTCCTGGAGTGGAGGAGGGGCTCCAGAAGAGGGCATGGGTGCTTTCCGTCGGGGTTCAAGGTCGCTGATGGAGGACTCCACGGCCAAGAGTGGGCTGGCAGCGCCGGGGAGGGGGGCGGGGAGACGGGCGGGAAAAAGGCTGTTTGGGGCTCCAAAGTCCGGCGCCCTGCAGAGCTACCAGTGGGAGGGCTGGAGAGCGGGTCCCGCCCCCGACGACTGCCCCTGCCTCCTTGGAGGAGGTGAGCGGGCACACCCTACCGACATCCTGAATGTCCATTCTTTCCCAGAGGCGCACCTGCAGGAACCTCAGGGAGACACCCGGCCTTCCTTCCAGCGGTGCCCTCTGCAGCTCCCAGCACCGCGCTCGCCTCGAGGAAACCTGGGGCCTCATCCCAGTCGGACCCGCCTCTGAGGAGCCCCCGAGGGTCTGGGAACCCCGCGTCCTTCTCCACCAAGCGAGTCTCCCCCGCCCCCGTGCTGCCGCGGAAGTCACTTACC